ATTTACATTTTAGCTAAGGAACTGAGTCATCTATTTCAAAAGCCCCAAAGGTTACCTTATTTTCACTAAAAAAATACAAACTGGGGCAAAGAGTGAGGCTAGAAATAAAGTCTCTAGAAAATAGCTGGGGGTGGAGCGTAGGGGAGAGGAGAAATGGGTTTGACAAAGACCGGGCTAAAACAGAAAGGACGAATGACTCAAGCATTACAAAAAACGATCCATGTAACTTAAAACATTTGTACCCCCTTAGTATTTTGAAATTAAAAAAAAAAAAGAAACTCAAATGAATGTTTCCCAATTATTCAGATAGTACTTGATTCTAGTGGAGAAGAAACTAAGAGTGTATGATGTCATTTGAAAGCCATAAAACCAATTCGTCTGTGAGGCTCACAAGAAAAAAAAAAAAGGATGAATGGCCTCAATTTCTAGCCCAGAGGTTTCAAAATAAGGATGAATTTACAAACAGCCCAGCTTCTTAGAGCTTTTCAGTCTTTCTGGCACCACCCTCTCAGGGCTATTTTTAGCCCCGGGCGTAGACGGAGCAGACAGGGAAGGTCTCGGTGCAGCCCAGCCTTACCTATCTTGCCCTGCCCGGACTCCAGCTATCTTTAATTAATGTCTGGGGGACATCAGGCCAACCCTACTAGTGGTAAAAGGAAGCACAATGGTGAAATTCTACCCAGCAAGACTGACAGGCCCACTACTGGTGTACCATTCCTGAGGTCCTGGGGCTATTCTTTATTGAAAAGCAGCCTCCATCTGGAACATTTAGAGAGCAATTAAGTAGATTCAGCATATTCAAGAGTACAGAAAACAGGACTGCCTGTTTGTTTATCTAGTTCTGCCTCCCTGCTTCACACAGCTCAAACTAGGTTTAACCAACAAATCAATTTAACATGATTTTATACCTTTTCTTTGCAATAAAGGAATTTCACTGTAAGTAACTTCCTCCAACTATCTAGTCCATGTTCATAAACAAAGATGAAACCAACATGTCTCATAATCTAACTCTTACATTCTTTCCTTTTTGCAATAGCCCCCAAGAGATAAGCCTAAAGCTTTTAAACCACAACTTGCTGCCAATCCAGATTTAGCTTTATTAAGTATTAAGACAAATCATATCTTTGGAAACAAAACTGAATAGCTAAGAAACCGATAATAAAATATATTCTAAATACTACCAAACTCACCAACATCAGCATACTGAAGGTAGCAATGATAAAGAGAAGATAAAATGCTGTCATTTCAGGGAAAGAAAATCAAGACCACAGGGGTTACACATCGTGATAACCATGCACTGCCTATGCCTATGAACAAAGAATTGAAGGGACTCCTGCTAGGTCAAAGCAAAACGCAAATAAAATTCAAACAGATTCTGAATTCCCATCTAAGGTACTTCAGACTACAGCAAACTGCCTTCTCCCTTTGCTCAACTCCATTAACCTAAATAGGTCTGTTTATTTAAGACTCCATTAGTTGATGAAAAAATTAAAATTCTACAATTCTCTTTTAGCTGAAGGAACCATATGGCTTTCTTCACTTTTGCAGGAAGTACTTACACTAAAACCATTATTAGTCTGAGCAATGATTTCAGCATTGACTATAGTCAGAAAAATGCCAGCCCACTACATGTAAGAGTATTTGAGTTTTCCACCCTCATTCTGTATTTAGGCCCTCAGCAGGGTGGCCTCAGACATCCACCAAGAGACCACTGTGTTTTCTGAATGGACGGAAGAAGATAGGCTGTAAGCAGATGCCCACTCCACTGAAACGTTAGTCATGGCTGAATGCCTGGGAAGTTCTATAAGGAGGGATATAGCAGGAGCTGCTTCCCTTTCCAGGTTTTATTAAGCCAATATGGGAAGGAGGAGATGCCATGAGACGACTAAGTAAAAAGGAAACTATTAAGAAAGTACATTAAAAGATAACTAATTTGCTGAAGAAACTTATGACAAGGTTGATAGCTAAACTACAGCCAATTGTCTAACACAGCGCTGTCCAATAGAACTTTCAGCAATGATGGAAAAGTTCCATACGTCTGTTGTCCAATAGGGCAGCCACTAGCTACTAAGCACTTGAAATACGGCTAGTGTAACTGAGGCAATGAATCTTTAATTCTATTTTATTTTAAAATGAAATAGCCACTTGTGGCTCATGGATACACCATCAAATACCACAGGTCTAGAACACTTCAAAAGGTGACTGACCACAGCAGTCTTCTGGATAAGAAAAAAGCTCAGAGAAGCCTGATATTGCTTTCCTTTCCCCCAAGAATTGAGACAAAAAAAAAAGTCTAACTCTCCTTCGTAACTTCTTTAAATTACACTTTCTACTCATGGTCTATCTCAACTCAATGTGGACCTTCTAATATATGATTAGAACATGTAAAACTTCAAAGCAGTGAAACTGCTTTTCTCTTACACAATGAGAACTCACGAAGTGAAATAATCAGTTTGAACTTTTTTTGAATTCTCACATTTCTCTCTAAAGTTGAAATATAAACTCTAGAACAAATACAACAAAAGATCGGTTAAACTGCTTAAGATTTTTATTTGTCTTTTGTTGTTGTTGTTCCCTTCTCAAAAGTCATGGCTTTGAGAACTTGCAGGAAAAAAAAACAAAACAAAACAAAACCAGTATACAAAATCCCCAAGTGCTCAGACTGAAAAAGACTCATTCCAATAGCAACTGCGTAGTTAAGGTAGGGGTACAGGAGAGTTACGCTGCTCTTTACAATCACAAGTCCTGAATATGCTCAAAAAGCTTATGATGTTTGTCTCTCTGTACTTCTAAAAATTGCCAACACCTAGCATCCTTGATAAATACTGGCTGTAAGCAAATGCTTTTAGCCTCAAGTATTGTGTACTGTCTCTTTAAATGGCAGTACATTCTAAAGACATGTCATCTAGGGACATAGGCTCACTGTACATTACACACCAAGGTTACAGTAGAAACAAACTATATTGAGTATCAACCGGTGTTCTTTCCGAAGTTCCTAGAGATTATGTTTAGTGCCCTTGAATCTGTTTAAGCCAATCAAATGATACTGGTTTTAGTGAAGGAGGTTTTTCAAATCCCAAGCAACAGCAAACAATTCCAGTTCTAAGATTAAAAAAAATAAACTAGGTGGTTTAATAGACTAAGTAAACTACCGGAGTAAACTCAAAATAGACCTTAGGACAAACGCTGTACCTTTTCTAATACATAATTTCAACAGCAGAGCACTGGACAAAGGCTGAATGCATGGCCTGAATGACAGTAAAACCAGTGGATGAACTGATACCAACCTCGAGCAGACAGACACCTGCAGCCCAGTGCAGGTGTCCAGGTGTCTGTACTTGGTTACGCTGTTTCAACTACTTACCTGCAATTTGCATAAACTCACAGAAATTTATAAAAAAGGCAGCCAGCGTGGGTCCAGAATTAAGTAACAAAACGGAATTTAAATGTTAAGGTCCTGCATTAAAGGCTCAAAAAGTTCCACCAATACCAGCCAAAAAAATCAAAGATTCATAATAATTTACGCAACAAAGGCACAGGGAATGCAGATGCAGGTTCAATAGAAGCCAATGACAATGTGATTGCTCAAAAAGCTAATTCAATCTTAGACTGCATTTACAAATTGTAAATTACCAAGAAAGTTACTATTCTCTATTAAAATTAGTACTGATGTTCAGAGTACTGCATTTTGGCAGCAGCAACAACATATTCCAGGCATTTGACCTCCCACTGCCCCTGCCATGGTAAGAGTCGGGTTAGTCCATGGAAGGGGAAGGAGAGAAACAGAGGAAGTGAGACTGCTGTCTCCAAATGTCTGCAGGCCTGACACACTGATCAGGAATAGATTTTGTGCAGTTCGAGAGAACAGAAAGACAATCAAAAGAGGTAAATTCAAATTCGATACAAGAAAGGACACGTCAAAGATCAGGGTTGTTAATGAATGGCCTGGCCCACTTGGGAAGGCAGTGAGCACCTCATCATCTAAAGGCCAGAATTGATGATCCAAGTAGGTTTCCCCCAGGCAGGAAGTAAGATTAGATGACTCGCTCTGCCCACTCTCCCCAATACTTTCACAGGCAAGACCACCTCCCTAACTCCGACACCTCTCCATTCTCTCAGTCAACACATGACATGAGAATGCACATTAGTGTGTAATGTTATGACAGACATTACTGCTATATTTTATTAAAAAATAATAATATGCAAATTCCACTGCTTTAACAAAAGTTGGAGACAATAACTACTTATAAAACTCTAACTGGATACCTAACTCGCTCTTATGCCAGCAACATTGCTCTCTTACAATACTCATATTCTATGCATTCTATGTAGTTTCCCTACATAATTTCCCTAATATTCTTAGTTTCAGTTGGCTAATAGATTCCAAACTCAAACTAACTAAGCTTTTCCCGAAATTACAGTGAGGTTTTTACCTTCTTTTACAAAGGTTGCAAGCAAGAAACCTATGCGGAAAGTTGTTAAACTGCCCCAATTCAGAGAACAGATCCTAATTCCTCTCCCAGAGCAGGAACTGAGGTGTGGAGAGTGCAAGTGAACTCACCTTTATTTGCAGACATCCATTCTTCCCCCAAATTTCCTCATTTTCTGAAACCCATCGCTAAGACACTGCAGAGTCAAATGGATGTCTGACATGGTTTGGGTCGTCACTTTCTAATTCTACCCCAGTCACAAGATGACAGATCTGAGCAGCTCATTACTCAACTATTCAAACTCTAAAATGATAACACCGTCAAAAAAAAGTACTCCCAGAACCTATTCTGAAGAGTACTCACTCCCTGAGTGGAAGATACTCTAAGGAGGAAGCTGCCTGACAATCCACCTACACTCTAGGAAGCGACCTAGCCTAGCCATCCCACCCCTGCTGGCTTCCCAACTTGAAAACTAAGAGTCAGAAACTGACAGAGGTACTACTGTCACAGTCATCCCTTTCAACCTGAACAACACATTCCGTAGCATCTGCTCTAAAGGCCAGGCTTTACCTTTCTGAACGTGGATGATGTCCGGGAAGTTGGCCAGGTGCCCCTGATACAGCGCTAACAGGTCCATGACGGGGTCCAGGTCCTGCCTGGGCTGCTCCGCGAAGAGCTCGCCGATGGCGTCGTAGGCATCCCCGGTGAAGGCGATGGCCTGGTTCAGGCCCACCGAGAAGGCCTGCTGGTCCAGCTCAAAGGCCTGGCTGAGGCCGCGGAAGGACTGGCCCACCTTCTGATACTCCTTCTTGAAGCCCGTCACCTGCTTGCGCGCGAACTCGTTGGCCGTGTGGTTGAGCTGCAGCGCGCTGTCGTCCATCTTCTTGGTGAAGCTCTTGAAGCCGTCGATCTTGCTCTCCACCTCCTGCAGGTCGAGGGCGGCAGCGGGGGGCGTGCTCAGCGTCAGGAAGAAGTTGGCGCCCACCATCTCGTCCTTCTCCGCCTTTCTCTTGCCCTGTTTCCAGGCCTTCTCGTCGGTGCTGCTGGGGCACGTCAGGAAGTGCTGGAAGACATCGCACTGTGCCAGCACCGGGTGGCTGGCCATGTGGTTCATCCACCAGATCAAGCCCTTCCTGCGCTTGGAGATGAAGTCCTCCTCGAAGCGGCCGGTGGCCTGCTTCTCGGGCAGGTGGGGCACCGAGATGACCGGGAACTTCTCGGCCAGGCGCGCGTACAGCCAGTCGAAGTGCTTGTAGCGCCGGTGCACCGGCACCTGCGTGTGCGTGGGCACCAGCTTGTAGGAGATGTAGCTCTTCATGCCCTTGAACTTGGTCTGCTTGGTGGGGTCGTCGATGGTGCACTGGAAGGGGTAGGGATTCTCCTGCCACTCGGGGCCGTAGGGCCCCAGCACCACGCACAGCTTGTCCCCATCCTTCACGAAGCCCGACGCCTCGCCGAGCACGAAGGCCTCTCCGCCGGACTTGACGAAGGTGGAGAAGCGGTTGAGGTTGCGGCTCACGGTGGCGGAGCTCTTGGCCCCCGACGGGTGGTGCTGCGGGGGCGCCGAGCCGCCGCGGGAGCCCAGCGACAGATCCGAGCGCGTGGACAGGCGGTAGCGGCCGGCCGCGCCCGCCGACGAAGAGCCGTCGAAGTCCGGGTACGCGCCGCTGCCCAGCGCGCCGGGCTCGTCCGCCACCGTGGAGCTGTCGTCCCACTCGTCATCCCAGTCATCGTCGCTGCCCTGGCTGGCCTGGTAGCCGCCGTAGAGCTGCTGCGGCGACGGCTGCAGGGCGCCCCCGCCGTACGGGAAGCCCGCGCCCGGCGGCTGGAAGGTGCTCGGCGGCGGCGCCTGCTGCGGTTGCAGCAGCGGCTGGAAGGCGTCGGGCGGCGGCTTGAAGGAGGCGGGCGGCGCGGCGGGCAGGGGCTCGAAGCCGCCGGGCGGCACGTTGGCGTAGCGAGCCGGGGCGCCTGGGCCGCTGTCGCCGGCCGGGCCGGGCTCGGGGGCGCGGATCACCTGCACGTACGAGGCCGGGAAGAGGCCGCGGTCGCCGCGGCTGTTGATTCCCTCGAGCCAGCCCTCGATGTCCTGCTCGCTGCACAGGCTTAGCACCTCATGCTCCCGCAGCGAGATCTCGCCGGGGTTCTCCGACCTGAAGTCGTACAGCGCCCGGGCGCGCAGCGCCATGGTCCCGGCGCCCCGGGACGTGCTCAGCGTCCCAGAGCCGGGGCCCGCCCGAGGGACCCGCGGTGCTGCCCGCGCCCTGGCGCGCGGACTGGAGCCCCAAAGGCAGCGCGGACCCCTCCGCCCGGCCCGCCGGTCGCGCCCTCCGCGCCTCTCAGCTCGCAGCGCAGACTGCCGCGCTGGGTCGCCGCCGCCGCCGGCCGGGGGCGGGGCCCGCGGCCTCCCACGTCCCCAGCTGCGCTAATCCACGGCCGAGAGCCGCGTGCCAGACAAGAGCAAGCGATGGCCGAGCCGCCGAGCCTGCCGCCCGGCCTAGCTCCGCGGCCGCCACTGCCCCCTCGTGGCTAGTTCTGCTAAGTGAGGCGCCAGGGTAAGAGTGTCACGGATAAAAGAGGGGGTTTCTATCCAGAAGTGAATTTCTGAGATTTTTTTAGGTTTTTAAGTAAAAAAAGTTTTCTAGAAAGCAAGTGTAGTATTTGCATGCCTAATAAACGTTCCCTCTCTGAGCGTTCAGTGAATGCTCCTAGAATCGCTTAACCCGGGCATGCAATACAGGATTTTGCCATGCATGTTAGCGATTGCGCTGAGGACAGGATGTCTGTGCCAGGGGGCTGTTCATTGACGGAGCAACTCCCTTCCCTCCGCTACTCACTGGAGCTTTTTGGCAAAGAGGAGCTGGAGAATTTCCAATAAAATCTAGCTGTATGACCTGGAGCAAGTCACTTACATGGTATCTACCTCCTGGGGTGGTTGTGGAGAGTCCCTATTTTATAGATAAGGAAAATGAGTTGTTACGTGGCAGACACCATACATGGTGAGCAGAGTTCGTTTGCTGCTACTGTTGCTGCTGTTATTGTTATTTGGGAAAGCAAAATCCCTGGCCTCTTTCATAAAGAAATTCAGGGTTCTAAAATCACAATTACAGGGTGGCTACACCACAAAGGGGCCCAATGTTCACATTCCTACTCCTAGTCCGGGGTCAGGGACCATTGCTGTACAGTCATCTCTGTTTCACTGTATTTATATTATTTTTAAGATAAGTAGATCAAAAATCACTTCCCAAAATATTGATCAACTCCAATATTCTATAGTTGCCTCGTTTCATATCTGTTTTTCCTTCGGTATATAATTTGCCCAAAGCTTTTTCTTTTCATAATCCCTTCTTTTTAAGTCTAGCCTAATTATTCCTCTGAAGACACTTCTGATTGGGGTTCAGCATTCATATGTCATTAATTTCAGCCTGTCCTCTGACCCTTTTCAAGCAAATCTGGGAAACAGGCCAGAAGAGTATACAATTATTGTAAGGGCTGTGGTTTTCTAAGCATCCTGCACAAAACCACCAACCCAGTATACCAGAATTATTCCCACAGTGTTTATCCTAATACAAAACCTTAATTCAATTCAGTAAGCAAATTCTAAATTACAACATTTTTAGCTGAAAATTCTGGGTTATGACTATTCTCACAGTAAGTAGAGGTCATTGTATTTCAATGCCAACATTTTATGTGGTCAGAAACATGAAGCAAACATTAACTAAACATCTAGAATACAATTTATTTTACTTACTAACTCATGAGAAGCTAACCTAGGATATTTAAGATAAATATATTTAGTTTCACCCCTTCTATTCATTTGGTAGTTACTCTTAAAGAGTTAATTATAGTAACTTCAGGCTTATTTCAGGAATGAAAATTCCAGGAGTTTAAAGTGGTAGTTTTTACAGACTGTTTGAGCCACTCTGTAGAAGCAGCGGTTGAGGAACTGTTGGGTGTCTGAGGTTGTTTGTAGCACAGGTGCACGGGCATCTGTAGGTGCTCGGCTTGCAGGAATCCAGTGGGGAGCCTTTGTGCTTGCTGGGCATCAGGCTTCCAGAATGATGGGGACAGGCCATCATGGTGCTTGGCCCTGTAGCCACTAGTGGCAGGAAAAAACCCTACCTCTGAAGGGTCTTGGATATGTAGAAAATGTGTTCAAGTATTAAAAACTTATAACCGGCTGGGAGCGGTGGCTCACGCCTGTAATCCTAGCACTCTGGGAGGCCGAGGCGGGAGGACTGTTTGAGCTCAGGAGTTCGAGACCAGCCTGAGCAAGAGCGAGACCCCATCTCTACCAAAAATAGAAAGAAATTAATTGGACAGCTAAAAATATATAGAAAAAATTAGCCGGGCATGGTGGCGTGTGCCTGTAGTCCCAGCTACTCGGGAGGCTGAGGCAGGAGGATCGCTTGAGCCCAGGAGTTTGAGGTTGCTGTGAGCTAGGCTGACGCCACGGCACTCACTCTAGCCCGGGCAACAGAGTGAGACTGTGTCTCAAAAAAAAAAAAAAAAAAATATAACCATTCACTCAGGGAAATAGATATAGTAATACATTTTTAAAAGATTTCTTTAGAAAATGGAGCATGGTATTCATTATTTAGTTTACATAGTCATTATAACCATCAACAATTTCTATTTCATGATGCTTCTGTAAAGAAAGTCTTTAGGGGGACATTAAATGGCCCCAAACAACTCTATATTCTCACTTCCTCCCTTGACTTGAGAAGCCTTAGGTGGCCTGGCCTTTGACTGTCTTTCCAACCCTCTCTTCCACTGAGAAAAGCCACAGTGGTTTCTTTGCTATTTCTGGAACAAGCCAAGCACATTTCCGCTTCAGGTTTTTGCTATTGCTGTTCTCTTTCCCTGGAACCCTCCTCCCCCAGAGATCCGCCACGCTGTACCATCTCTTTACTTCATCAGCCAGAATCAGTGTGCCCTCTCCAGCCCTCCTTCTCCTGACTTGGAGAACCGGGAAGTAAGAAAAGGCAGCCTGGGTCCCTGAGTCACCGACACCAATCACACTTTGTGAGAAAGAAATCCTTTGTCGGCCTAAGCCACTAAAAGTGCAGGTTTTGTTTGTTGAGGCAGCTGGCATTAATTATCCCTACTAACACGCTCTCCCTCCTTCCCAATCCCCATCAATTGCCCAGTCTCACTTTTCTTTGTAGCACTTGCTACCTAAGATAAACACATCTCCCTTTATTAGAACGTAAACCTTTTCAGAGCATCAAGTTTGTTCTGAACGCAGGATACAGGAATGAACAAAACAGACATGGTAGGCAACCAGTAAATATTTGTTCAATGAATGAATGAGAGAAGGCCCACTGATTTTCCCCGAGATGACGTCAGCTCTTCTCAGTGGCTCTTACTGTGTCTGGGTCTATTTGCCTGGGCCCCTCTGCTGCTGGCTGTGACTAAATATTTCTAAGGGCAGCTAAATAACACTCCTCTTTAAATCAACAATCTTAAAATTGACTCAACCAGCCAGAACACCACTCCACATTTTCTGAGATTGCTGGAAATTTCACTATTGCTGAGTGGGTAATTATTTTTTAAAAAACTCTATTATTTATATTTTACTTGAAAACTATTCATATAATGTGTCAAGTATTACAGGAAGGTATGCATATGATTTTATAAGCACTTCCACCTTTATTGTGTTATCTCCTGGGTATCCTTACAGCAGCTTGTCCATGCACAGAGCAGATATTGTCATCAACACTGTCACACATCAGGATAGCCAGCTGCAGAAAGGGCTGTCTGCTGAGATCACGTACCTGGGGAGTGGTCCAGCAGCTACTCAGCTGTCCTGAGAACTTCCATCCACTGGGTCATAGGTCTGCAGTCTGCTGGCTTCTCAAAACTACTATTATTATTAAAGAGCATCAGCCACTTACTAGAAGGTGTGTAGCTGAGATTTAACAAAAGACCTGGATTCAGAAACAGTGCTGTACCTGAAAGGAAGGCTACTTACTGTGTCAGTGTCAGCTTGGTTTCACCTGGAGTTTGACCTCCCCGAGGGGAGGGATTTTTGTCTGCTTTGTTCACCACTATATACGTCTGGCATACTGAATTGAATAAATATTTGTCAAATGAATGAATGAACAAAACTTTCCAAACCTTAGTTTCTTAATCTGCAAAAATGGGAATAAAAGTAATCTACTTCATAGGGTCATATCAGGATTGAATGCGGTAATAAGTTTGTATGGTGTTTTACAGAGCTCAAAGTGAAAAATTAATTTTAATATAATTAAATACATAGTCCAATTAATTAAACTCAATTTCCCAAATTGTGTGATTCATTACAGAGATGAATATTTGAGTGGTTGACTTGGATAAATCTGCACGTTTAGATTCTATGATGGTAGCTTCTTCCTCAGTGGTATTTACAGCTGGGGATGTACACGTACCTAAAAAATTATCCATCACTATTGAAGAAATCCCTCATTTTTTAATCATTGGACCTCTTTCATGAACAGTTCATTTCTGCTCCAAAATCAAATCAAGGACCTGATTTAATATTAATTACCTGACAGCTCTCTTTATAAATTTTCCTCTTTCCTCAAACATGCGTTTGATTAAATTAACCCAGCTATTGCCTGATGAGTGTGTTCTTGCAGATACATTTCCCCATTTGCTCTGTAACTTCAAATGTTTTCTTCCCATCTTCAAAATAGTCACATCATTTCTGCATAGTAATTATTAGCTTGTCCCCTGTAGTTCACCACAGTCCCCCCTACTTTCCGGTGTCTTATACCCATGACTACCTTCCTTCCCTGCCCCTGTAGGCATAAGAGCCTGCCCCATACCCATCTTCCAGGGCAAGAGCAACCACTTCCGGGGCATCACCGCAGGCCACTGATATTCCTCTCTGCCACAGCCCTCAGAGTATCTGGACATGGACACCTCCCTCAGAATGTCTGTCAGTCTGTCCTTCCTTCCACCAAACAAGTAGGCACCTGCTTCATCCCTCAAGGAGCTGGTGGGCGAGACTGCAGTGGAAGCCATATGCTATGTGATATGGTTAAGGCGTATGCAGGAGACTATGAGGCTTAGCAGACCAGGGTGGGAGGTGGGGTTGTGATCAGGGGAGGCTTTCTGGAGCAAATGGTGCCTAATTTGATTAATTCAGGCTACAATGGGATGAGAGAAAAGTAGAGATGACTTATATTCCTTGAGAGTTGACAGAAGTCAGAAACCTGAGAGCCCATTCTGTCTCTCTCCTTCCTTCCTTCATTTATTTATTTATTTTTTGAGACAGAGTATCACTCTGTCACCCCAGGTAGAGTGCAGTGGCATCATTGTAGCTCACTGCAACCTCCAACTTCTGGGCTCAAGTGATCTTCC